AATCCACTTCCGACTCTCACCTTGACCATAACCATAACAATAATTGGATTGATTGCTGGACACCACGCACATAAATATAATATGTTATCAGTTAGAAAATCAATGTCCCGATTGAAAAATGGAATCATAAAAGTTATATAAAATGGTAAATGAATGGTGAAAAGTGGGAATAGAAACTGAATGAAATTACAGTTTCAAGTTTCACAAGTGAAGACTATTTTAAAAGCGTGAGTTTGTGACATCATTTCTCTATGATTCCTCAATTCTTCAAAATATCGTAAAAGCTGTAATAAAAGGGCCCTCCACACTGACAAGTTTGAGATCAGTTCCCCAATTTCTAGGCAAGATATCAAAAATGTGTCAACTGACAAAAAACCTTTGATATTGTGATGAATAATTTACGAGTTTAAAAGTTATATCTTTGACGGGACCCGAAATAAATTGGCTTATGGGGCCCTTTCATCACAAGCACAGCTACCCGATGAGCTACGCGGTCAGCGCTATGCAACCTATGGCAAGTTCAGCGATAGTCACATAAAAAATGAAATGTGTGAACACCGATCTCTGTTCACCGCCACGCAAAAATGCACACTATCCTTCCAAAAAATTCCATGAAAACTCCCTTTTTCAGAACCTCGAAACAAGATGCGAATTTCGGAATTTTCCTGATCCCAATCTCAATTGGGATCCCTGCACTTGCTCTTGTCTGTTTGGGATACATCCCAAAATCAGAAGTTTTTCCTCAAGAGATAATGAATAAGATGAAGAACCAAGGAATGGCGACAACGCTAACTATACCGGTGACCTGGATCCGGGTGACTCTAACCTGGTGACCTGGATCCGGGTGGCCTGGATCCCGGTGGCCTGTATCCGGGTGACCTGGATCCGGGTGACCTGGATCCGGGTGACCTGGATCCGGGTGGCCCTGATCCAGGTAACCGCGGGACCTTGATCCGGGTGACCTGGATCCAGTGACCATGGCCGGGTGACCTGGATCCGGGTAACCCTGACCGGGTGGCCTGGATCCGGGTGGCCTGGATCCCGGTGGCCTGTATCCGGGTGACCTGGATCCGGGTGGCCTTGATCCGGGTGACCGCGACACCTGGATCCGGGTGACCTGAATCCGGTGACCATGACCGGGTGACCTGGATCTGGGTAACCCTGACCGGGTGGCCTGGATCCGGGTGACCTGGATCCGGGTGGCCTTGATCCGGGTGTCCTTGATCCGGGTGGCCGCGGGACCTGGATCCGGGTGACCTGGATCCGGGTGACCTAGATCCGGGTAACCGCGGGACCTTGATCCGGGTGACCTGGGTGACCGGGTGATCCGGGTGACCGGGTGACCTTGATCCGGGTGACCTGGATCCTGGTGACCTGGATCCGGGTACCGGCTCAGCTACTGTGGCGCAAGCTGAGGTGACACAAGCTGAGGGGATAAAAGCACGCTAGCAACGCACTTTGTGAAAACCGAAAAAAAAATCTACAGTCTTCCCTCCAGAAAAATCTTTGAAAATAATTCCCTGTTTCCATTTCTTTACAATTTTTGACAAAGTCCGAAACCCCTATTGAGTGAGTAAGTTTAAAAAAAACTTCTTTCGCTATGGAGCAAATCTTCCTTATATATAAAACGCTAGAGGCGTCTGTCCATCCTCGTGTCCGTCTGTGGACTTTTGAAAAAATTGAAAAATATATATATATTTACGTGACCCTTATATTTGGAAAAAGTGAGAAACGAAGCGACGAACATTTTAAAAAAATTGATTGAATCGCGCCGAAGGCGCACCCGCTTGCTGGTATTTAATGTTTTACGTGCATAATTTATTAATCCATAGGTCCCGAAATATTTCAAGCCATCCCTCATGAGAAAGCTGTTGGTTCAAGGAGACTACCCAACCTTCCAGTGTCTTTGACACGTACTGCTTGACATGTATTATTTATTTATAAATATGATATGATGCGCCAACACACACAAAATCGTTTTCTTATCACCGACAGCCAACTCTCTTAACATCTTTTTGCTTCTCGATTCGAATAAAAAAATTTGCATCATGGTTTTGTGCTCAAAGCTGTCTTTATGGTTTATACGCTATGGTTTATACTCAAGTTCATCAGATCAATTTTTGCTATTTTTTATCAACTTTTATCATCCTGATAGAGAATATTTTATTTGTTTCTTTGTAGCAAAGATGGTTTCTCAAATTAATCCCTTTTCAGCAATGATGATGGAGATGTCGACTCATCACGGCATGAATATGATGAACATGACTACAATGGCTGGACCGGTTGCCAAAAGACACAAAATGTGGATGTGGTACCATGTGGAGGTTGAGGATACTGTACTTTTCAAAAGCTGGACTGTTTTTGATGCTGGAAGTGAGTCTGTACTTTTTATCTTCTTAACTTTAATTTTATTGTTTTTAGCTATGGTATGGACATGTTTCGTGATTGCCGCTGCTGGAATTTGTCTGGAAGCCTTGAAATACGCTAGATGGGCTACTGGGGAACATATTAAGAGCCATCAGGAGAATCTGGATTTGAAATTGAAGTAAGTAAAACTACAGCATGAGAACACCACTTCAAAATTCTCTCCAAACTTTCGTCATTCTTGAAACAAGAAAAAAGATTTTCAGCTTCTGGAAACGCCATGTCATCGACTGCTGCTACCACTTTTGGCAACTCTGTCTGGCCTATATTCTTATGAATGTCTATATGGTTTTCTCGGTGGGTATAACACAAAACTATAATTTTTAAAGAATTTATAATATTTCAGGTCTACATCTGTTTGTCACTTTGTCTTGGTTTGGCTATTGGTCACTTTATTTTCGCTTCGAGAACAGGAATTTCAATTTGACTTTCGAATTTAGTTTTTTATTTGTTCTGTTTCATAAAATTAATAAAGATTTGTTTCGATTGATATTTCGCTCTTTCTCATCCTACCGATCGTTCAACCACATTTGCCATAACATGAATGAAAAGCAAAAAAAATTGAATTTCAGCAGCAATTACCGTAAAACTCGAAGGGTCCAAGAACTAAAAATACCGTAGCTGAAAAATACTCAAGTTCTCTGAATTCCTTTATTAATTTTCCAGTGATTTCCCAATGAAACAAGTCGAAAATATAAGCTAATATAGTGAAAAAACTCCCGAAAAATGAAATAATTATAAGGATAGATTCGTTGAACTTTAAAATAGAATTAACCACATTTTTTAATAAAAACTTTCCTGCTATGATTTTTTTCCATCGTATCCGTTTTATGTACGCCGTCCAAAAGCCTGATACAATCGTGTAGCTGTGTCGGTGGCAGCACCATCTCTAAATCTTTTAGCTCATCATCACAGACCATAATAACCTTGTAAAATAGAAATTAATTTCATAAAGTTTGGTTTTGGTCATGATTCAATTGTTTGTTTGATTTCTGTCATATTTCTTTTAAAGAATTTTAAGCTTCATTCGAGAACCGGAGGACTGCATCATTTTTATATACATTTTGAAAAGAGTATGAACAAGATAAACAAACGAATTTCGAAGTTATACCCCAAATTTGAAACTGAAAATCTTTGTAGCTCAACTGATAGCTAAATTCTAGACAGAAGAAAAAAGGTCCCCCTACTCTGTGGAACAGCTGCAATCGACTTTCTGAAATTACAAGCTTTTGGATTGGAAACGAATTTCCGATTGTTCGAAAATTATTGATAATATTATTGAAACATACATTTTTTTCATTTTCTAGAAATTTAGGAAAAAGTTCATCCGTCTAAACTCCAATTTTTCCAAGACTTGATTATAAATTTGTCTTATTTTTTTGTTTGAAGTTTTTAATTTTATGATCAATGAAAAGTTTTGAATATTGCTCGAAATATAAAAATTCAGACAACCCAAAATAAGAATTCCGAATCATCTCCTGTCTTCCCCCCCCCCCCCCTTCGAAAAACCAGTACTTTTTCATTCGAAAACTTTAAAGTATAAATGGAATAAAGAGAAATGAAAATTCTCATTAATTTTCTTACCCTAAAGAAACATTTTTGAAACTGCTGTTATTTTTGACACCTCGGACATTTTGTTACGGTTGAAAATATTACCGTTCTTGTAACCGATCTCTATGCAGCTTTTTTTTGAAAAAGTGTTTCTTACACGATTTTGATTACTGTATCTCTTCCTCTCTCCTCCTATTTCCGCAGTGAAATTACTTATCACCATTTCTAACATCATCTTATCAATTTCTACGCCCTCAATAGAGCATTGTTCATTCAGTTTTAACTGATTGCTAGACGAATTGATTTGCATCATTGCTCTTAAATTTTTTGCTCTCCAATTCCTATTTATTTGTTTTACTTTGGTCACTTGAACTCTTTTTTTGGTTTCAGGTTCAAAAAATGAATCATCACATATCAAATGATATGGATATGGACATGAATAAGGGACCATTCATGTGGATGTGGTTCCATACAAAACCTCAGGATACTGTATTATTTTCCACGTGGAATATCACCAGTGCTGGAAGTGAGTTACTTGGAGGATGGGCCCATGGACTTTGATGAATTTTTCAGCAATGGTCTGGGCGTGTATACTGGTAGCGATTGCTGGGGTAGTTCTGGAATTGATCAAATTTACAAGAAGATTGATTCAAAAGAGGCAACCGGCGAGTAAAAAGGCGAGGTTAGAAAATTGGGGATTCCATTTTGCCGGGTTTTTTTCCAAATATTATTGTTTTCTGAGTGTTGTGAATTTTCTCGAAATTGGTTAACGGGAATGTTGCTTGTCTGGTATTTTTTTTGTTGAAAAAATTCTTCAAAAACATTCTCAAACAATACCGTATATCAATTTCGTAACGCTTTTTTCGCCCTATTTGGACGATTTTTAACAGTTTCATTACCCGATTACGTCGAAAATCAATTGTACCATTTTTTAGTTATATCATAGAAATTGAGATAATTGAGCTCAAAGTGTAAGTAAGGCATATTCCAAATAGTGATATTTTGTACCAATAACCAATAAAATATCATCCTCTCAAAAAACTGAAAACGCATTGAATCAGAAAAAATTAAAAACATGGCATACTTTTCCAGCTATCTCTCCCGCCTGTTCTCTACAATGCACTTTGTCCAAACGTTCCTATTTTTCGTTCAACTTGGCTTCAGCTACTGTCTTATGCTCATTTTCATGACATTCTCCATTTGGTTGGGATTGGCGGTCGTTTTTGGATTGGCTATTGGATTTTTGATTTTTGGCGGGAAAAGTGAATAGAATAAAGAATTTTTATAAAAGTTAGTTTCTGTTTCATAACCAACATGTTTGATTCATGATATCTATAAAAGTGATTCGAATTTTTTCTCCCAACCCTTTCAGATTGTTCCAGAATGATGCACATGATGATGGAAATGTTCTTCCATTTCCGAATCGAAGAGCCGATTCTATTCCGAGAATGGAAGCCAATGAACACAACGGCTTATGTTTTCTCATGTATTGGAATCTTTTTAATAGCTTTTGCGCTGGAAGTGTTGAAGTTTGGAAGAATGCGATTGGTGGGGAAGAAGGTCGAGGAGGAGAAAGTGAGTAAAAACCAATACTTTAAAATTTTTTTGGAAAAATTGTGAAGATAATGAAACAGTTAAAAATGTTCAAAATTTTGAAAATCTCAGTATTTCTTTCCACACGGTTTCAAAAATCCCGAAATGCTATAATAGAGCATAACATAATTGCGTCGTTTATCTCACTTCTTTTAAGAGAAATGAAAACCTGTCAACTTAAAACATTTGTCAAAATATCACCAAAACGTTTATAGATTGCAGCTTTTGATATCTCTTTTAGAAATTGAGATAATTAAGCTCAAAGTCGAAGGCGTATCAGTTCGAAAGAGATACTAAACATTTTCAGTTTCGGAATTTTTTAACTGTTCCAATATTTTATCATTTTATCAGCTAAGGAGACTTAAAATCGATTTGATAGAAATACCTGGGATTTTCAAAAAAAAAAACTAACAAAAATCAAAACCCTAATATAATTTAGTCTCGGAAAACCTGACAGAAAATGAAACAAAAATTCTGTTTCAATGTCATCAAAAATAACTTTTGAAAATTTAGAAGTTCGTTTTAATTTTTCTTTGTAATTTCAGAAAGTCGATTGTTGCTGTTCCACAGAAGAAGATGGACTCTGGAATATTCCGGAAACAAGACCACTGAATGCTAAAACTGTGAATTTGGCACCGTAAGTTGATCTTTTCTAGAATTCGTGAAATAGAAATTCGTAAAAAAAACTTTGAACTTGGTAGCACACCTCGAAAAGTTCCCCAAATTACACCAATATTCTGAAACTGAAGTCTCCTATTTCCAGATTCACTCGTGATTCTCTTCTCGTCAAAAGTCACTTTGCCTCTTCAATTTTGATTTTCATTCAACACTTTGTCGACTATTCCTTAATGCTTGTCTCCATGACTTACAATTGGCCAATATTTCTGTCACTTCTTGCAGGTTTGAAGATTGAAGTCTGAAATTTTTTGAAAATTAGAAAGTTTAGGTCACGCAACTGGATACTTCTTTCTGGGACCAATGATGACAGTAGAGGAAAGTGAAGCGGCTGGCAGTTGTTGTTCATAATTCATGTTTTCATTTTACTTTTTCATTTTGAATTGAGAACGAACATTCTCATTTAGGTGAACCTACTTTATGGATTTTTTGAAACATTAATGAAAAATGAAAATGATTCATTGAACAAGGCATTGCGAAATTGAATATTTGAGATAGCGCTAGATCTTCAATACTTCAAACTATGAAATTTTTAACTCTGGAATCAGAAACAGCAATAAATCTAATTGCATTTCTAAAACTTATGAACTTAATAAATGTTTATGTGTATCACTGCTGAAAGTCTTTCAGCAGTACACAAACGTAGTGTTCACTAGCTTTGCCTTTTCTCTTCTTGCACCGCCCGTATCCACTTCCTAGGTTAAAAACGACTACGTTAGATTTCCAGTGTTCTTTTTTTCCTTCACACACACGCTGATGGATTCTTTCCTACTCTTCATCCTCTTCTGCTGCCCTTTCACGACACCTTCTCTGCTATTTCACTTCTCTATGTCTGCGTCTCCGATGTGCCATACACTCTCTCATCGTTAGACACTGGCTGTCTTTTTCTCTTTAGCTGACTCTTCTTTTTCTTTCGTCTTCTCCGATTCCCTTTCTCTGTTTTTCATCAATTTGAACTCTTGTTGACCATTGAAGTGTAAACCAATTTTAGTTCATGTGTTCTCGTTTTTTTTCGATTTTTGTTCAAAAATAGCCAAGCTAATTTTTTCAGAAGCATGGATTTTTGTGGTCGGCCAATTGAACCATCAACAAGTCGATCACCGACTCCAGATTACCGATTCAGAGTGTACCTACCGCCAGGAAAGTCTTACGATATGACTCTGTGGACCGTAAGTTTCTTTTTTACAAAAACGGGCTCAGTTTTTTTCTGATCGATTTGTTCTGTCAATTGATTTCCCTCGGGTTACCCATTCACACGGCACTCCTTCTGCCAGCTGTGGCCTGATTGAGGACCCATTGTCTACCCATCTTCGTGCAATACAGGGACTCTTTTCGCGAATTTTATACCCTCAAAAGCGCTTTAGCTGCCAATCCAATGCTCTTTCAAAATTTCAGGATCCAAATTCGTATTAAAAAGTCATCCGGAAAATTTTTATTTATAGGTTTCGGGATATCAAAAAAATAAATATTCGAAATTTTGCCGAAAAAATCGCCTTGAGGCAATTGTCTCGCGGAAAAAAATCTAGAGGTCAGGCGTCACTACCGGCTGAACTACCGCATTTCCAACTTTGAACGCTATGCACGAAACTTTGTATTGCCCTACATACCTTCAGAATTCTAACAAAAATTAAAGGGAGAAAATTCCTGTTCAATTCATATTAGATTGAGCTCAATACGTTGGCGTCCAGAGACTTGAATATTCACACAAAACATTTGGTTTCTGTGGGAATTTCAAGGAAAAAAAATGAAATGCAAACATGCTTCCCAAAACAGTAAAAATCAGAAAAAGAAATGAAAAAATCTCAAATTCTTTTATTTCCAGAAAAATGACGTCTTCCGGTGGATGACAATATTCATGCCGGTGACTCAACACACCGAGACATACATCGCATTAAAGGAGCTTTACCTAGACGGAGATGTGCTCTGTGCAATTATTAACGACTCGGTATCACACATGACACTTGGAATATCCGAAGGAGATCTTGAATTGATTGTTGGACATGGAAAATTAGTGCTTAAAGGACCACCACCAGAAGTACGACTACCACCTCCACCATCACTAAAACATTTATTAGAAATTAGCACCCCGAAAAATCTAAGTATCCAAAAGTAAATATCATTTTATGCTGATTTGAATAAATACTGAATTTGTGATAATTTCTCTTCATTGTTTTTTTGACTTGGTTATTTTCCATTTTATATCTTTGAATCTTGAAAAAGATAGACTTTAAGCAGTTAATTTTTCAGAATGAATAACGCAAGCTCATCGACGATGTCCCCACCACCGCTAAAAGCCACGCCAACAGTCTTCCCACCACCTGGAAGAACTTTCAACATGAGGGAATGGGATGTAAGTTTTAAAGGAGGCGAGACAGCAAAAATTTCGGGGGACAGTTCGGGGGACGAAATCGCGCCGCGCTTATGTAGACCATCGGTCGTCAGGCGCCTTCGCGCCCCCGTAGCTCAGCCGGTAGCAGCGCTGTACCCCTGAGCTGCCTGTCATGAGTTCAACCCCTCATATGGGTTCTCTATGCAAAATATCAGGAAAACTTTTTTTTTTGGTGTCTGGCCTCCTTTAAAACAATTTTGAAAAGTTAGAGTTTCGAAATTTTACAGCAACTCGACGTTGAATTGTGGATGACTACTTTCATTAGTGTTAACGATTGCCCAGATTTTTTTATCTGGCTCGAAAAGAACAAAATCGACGGAGAAGCATTGCTTGCCATGCAATACGTTCCAAAAAGAGTGAAACGTGATTCGGGAATCAGCCAATCGTTGCTCAGGAAGATACTCGATCGTGTAGAAATTGTATTTCTGGAGTACAGGAAGATAAAAATCGAAGAAACAACTCAGTAATTCCTGGCATTATTTTTTTTTAATTTGCGGTTTTCCAATATTTAATAAATCTACGCATTCAAATAAATTATTTAAAAGAAAACAAAAAACCATGCCTGCTGCTGGAATCGAACCAGCGTCGCCACGGCCACAACGTGGAGTACTACACAGGTAGAGGGGGACTGCCGAAAAACGGCCCGTCTGGCGGGCGCGGACTGCCGAAAAGCGAACAGTCGGCAGTCGAATCGCGCGCCGCCGACGGTCCGTTTGCAACGATTTGCGCCTCGAAGACGGGCCGTCAAAAATGATAGCGCTTTCTTGACAGTTCATCATTAAACAGGTGATAAACAATATAAATTCTTTATTAAACTAATAGTTTCTGTGGATTGTATTGAAAAAATAACTCCAATTATTTTAGAATTGCATTTTTATAAGTGGAATGAGAGAAAACACATTAGAAATTACAAGTTCTATAAGGAACATAACTTCGATTTTTTTTCTGTGTGTTTTCGCAAAATTCCAACTTTAAAATCCGTTTTTTTCGTTCCTTTCGTTCTCTTTCCCTTCTTCGTTTCTCGATTTCCACTTCTTCCGCTTTTCAGCATTTCTCTCATTGAACAGTATTTTTCGCTATTTTTATAAGTTTCTTTCAGAATAAGTAAAACACGGATTAGTTTGAGCACGAAAACTGATATTTGGTGGAAAAAATCTTTAGGTTTTCAAGCTACGCGGAATTTTTAAAACATGTGCTTCAAAAGAGCGCCGCTTCGCAAGTGTGAAGTTTCGCAAAAGCTACAAAAAGTTTTTAAATATTTTTAACTACACAGATCGTCAAATTTTGATATGTCGTTACTTTGAAAACTTCACTCTTGCGAAACCTGCTAAGCGTCGGTGATGCGAAAATTCGATAACGCGATAGGCTCGGAGATTTTGATGATTTTTGCTTCGGAGAGTATGAAAACTTACCCAACTTACCGTGAAAAAACTTATGAAAACCTGTATTTGTTAATCTCCGAAGCAAAAGCCGCCGAAATCTTCGAAACTTTTGTCGAAAAGATTTTTCAGCAGTTTTTGCATTTTTTGACGATAAACTCGCAAAACGAAAGTGCGCGAATGATTTCAATTATTTTTAAAGTCATCAATTGGTCAATTTTAGCGAAAAATTCCCGAAATTCAATAGAAAACACTTCGAAAAGCGAAAAAACTGTGTAAATTAGACGAAAAATTGGTAAAGACTTGTGCCGCTAAACAAGGCGCAGGCGGGATTTCGGAGTGTCGTTGCGAACTGATATTCCAAGTCTCGCCGTTAAAACGGCAATTGAAAACAAATTGTCGAGATTTTTGTTAAAAAACCAGAAAGAAAATAGAAATTTCAAACAAAAATCGTACAACCTTTTTCGAAAAACAAATTCTGGTCGAAAATCTTCAGAAAACTCGAAAAATATGACCGAAAACATGTGCTTTGAACGGAGAGTTATTATCATGAAATTACAACTCGAGTTGCGATCTTGGAACAGAAAAATGAACAAAAAAAGAAAATATGCTTTTAGATGGATACCCAGGAACATTCCGAAATTCAGTTTACAGCGTTCTTTTTTCAGCCGTCATCCACCAGTCAGCGCCTCTTCGACTGTCATTTAGCCGTTTTTCACCAACCGCGCCTCAGATTCTAATTTTCGTATAAATGCTTCTAACAACACATTTTTTAGATTTCCAGATCCCTCTATGGCTTTTATTCTTTTTCAAGAGAAAAGTCTTTTTCAACAAAATTTTCCATTCTGATGAAATTTGGCCTGCCAACCACCGGTCAATGACCAGTCAGCGCCTCTTCGACTGTCATTGAGCAGTCGTTCAACAACCTATTTTTTGAGGTGGTCCTACTTGAGGAAAATAAGTTTCTATCATTTCTTATAATCTAGTTTGGGTATGAGAAATTGCTTTCTGAATTATTTCCAATCAAAACCTTCAAGTCTGTTTTCCAACGGGTTCCGACTGTCCGTCGACTGTCCGTCGACGGCCAGTCAGTTCTCCTTCGGCTGCCGACTAGCAGTCATTCGCCAGTTTGCGCCCCTTCAGCTGTCATTTAGCAGTTTTTCAGCAGCCCCCCTTTACCTGTGTAACCACTATACTAAGCAGGCCGAGAGAACAGGGAACCAGTTGGCGGTTATCTTGTGGTGAGAGAGGGGGAGCGACGGAGGAGGTGATGGTGGTCGTGAGCGCTGTCTTGCAAAATTCTTTTATTATCAAGCAAAAAAACATGACAAGAGCCACAGAAAAATCCAATATATAAACAGGAAAATTAGTCCGAGAAAGCAAGGAAGAAGAATTATTGAACAGAAGATGATTGAAGTTAGGATAAGTAGGTCATTGCAATCTCCAGATTCCGGAATGTACCACACATTTTGAAGGAAATATGTCCCAACGAAAGAACTGAAAATAAGCGTTTTTATTGACAATTTTCTAACTTGGAAGCTTACAAAAACAGTAAACCGCATACTGTGACCGGTGTATAATTGGATACCCGTAATTCTAGACCAGATTTTTTGAATTCCCACTCATTTAACATTTCTAGCTCCTCAACTGGTTTCGTATTGTCCTTCATAAAAAAGTAGAGATTTAGCTCGAAAATCCAAGCGAAAGCTCTGTCGATAGCCAAGAAAGTGCCCAGAAGAATCATCCAGATTGGAAGATAATGTTCCATGGAGCATCTTTCCAGGGTAAAGGATCCAAGAATTATAAAAAATGCAGAGAGCGGAAGCAAGATGATAGTGGCGACGATTGTAAAAATTGCTGGAAAATGAGTCATCTAGGAAAAGTAAAAGATAAGAAAACTCACGAAGTTTAGGATTGGTTCTGACTGGATAGAAGTCAGCAGATTCAACAGATTCGATTTCAAGATCTAGATTCATTATGTTTGGTGTGGCAATTGAATTGGCAACTGTTATTGTCAGCATATTATATAGATTTAAACAATGAGCAAGTAGTCCTTATCAGTCAGAGGAAATGACGAGTCGTAAAAGTTGTGAAATTGAACTTGTTTACTATAAGTCTTTGTCTAAAAAAATTGTTGTGATGGTCATTTCCGAGACAGTTCACATGTTGATTACTACAACGAAAGATGGAGTGGGTGCTTGACTTGTCCCAGTGCTTTCACATGTGAATAATTCGTTCCGAGTTTTTCGAAAAAAAAAGTTTCTGGGTTCAAAAAATATTTTCGTTCTTCCTCAGACTACCAGCCAGCTGATAAACCAATAATAGCAAGTACATTTACTTAAAAATGATGAAATATATATTTAAACATGATGACACATTTGTTTGTTTTTTCTATAAGAGACCAGTAATAGTGGCTAGAATTACTTCAAAAATTTTGAAGTAAAACAAACCCCACTACATCTGAAGGTTTTGATTTTCAGTACTTTCACCAGGTTAGAAAGAGACGATTTTAGATGTTTTACGAATCCTCGATTATCACATTCTCTGGATTTATTGTTAAGGCGATGTTTATTCAAAGTGTTAGGGTAATTTTCCGGGTCATTTCGACAAACTTTTGGAAAATTGTTTGGTTCGTTCACTTTGTCTATTCAACTATTGTTGAAAATTGTGAAAAATGAACATTTTTGGAAGAGTTGAAACAAAAAATCAATAGAAAAAGAAGCGTCCAACTGACTAGAATAGCCAGAGCGAAAATGTATCAATTATCGATTTTATTTCGAGATCTAGATTCCTTAATCTTGGTGGAAATACAACAAATAAATCAATTTCTTTTTACTTACAATTAAACATGATGAAACAGATTCACACACGATGTCACATTTATCATTTATTTTCATTTGAAAAAGACAATTGCTCATTTGAAAACGACAATTGCTAGAACGGCACCTCAACCGTTGCGTCCACAAGTTAAATTTTCAAGTTTTGAAATTCAACCATTGTCATTGTCTATGAAGTTTCATTCTCATTTCCAAGACAATTCACGTGCTGACTACCACAATAGCCGAACGAGTTTGCGCTTGACTTGTCTTCGTCCTCTCACATGTGAATAATTCGTTGCGAATTTTCTGAAAAAATTGATTTTGAAATGTTGTCGATTTTCTCCACCTTTACTAGTAACATTACAAAAATGGGATTCATAGCAGGACACCAACAAAAAAGGAAAAATATTCGGTCAGCAAAGGTTCTCCAAGCGATACCGAAAAATGGGAAAACGACGACGATGTAGAATGGAATGTGGATGGTTATGAAGGGAAGGATAAACTGAAATTTGAGTTAAAATAAACAATGAAATTGTTAATAATTTTTATGTTTTAACCAAATAAAAGTTATGACAGTAAATTTTTCAGATTTTTATCGAATTTCCTGATCTCAAACTATCCTAATAACTAGTACATTAATGAACTTCACCATTTTCCGATTTCACCTACCTGCAGTAGAAGGGCCTTGTTCAACTGCTCCTGTGACTTTTGCGACGCTGAACTAGCCATAAACCGAATCTTCATCTGCTTCTGTATATACACCGTACACCAAATTACAGTAAAAATTGATGAAAACATTATAGTTAAAATGAAAAACGTGCATATTTGGGACAGCACTTGAAAGTTGTTCCCGGTTTTAGTGGAGTCATACGTCTGAAATTTTCTTACTGTTTCGTCGTGAATATGTCACTAAGGGGGTTTAAAAGTAATTAGTTGGTTTTGCAGATTCAAAACTCACAAATCGAACAGTAATTATTAGAAACGGTGTATCGCCTTCTTCCTCGAGAACCGCTTCTACTAAACTGCTGATCCTGATTTTATAAGATGGAGGGATGTATCCAAAGAAAATGAGAGCCAGAGAAGCCAGAGAAATAAATGCAGGAATTATGGAAATGTGTCGCTGTATTCCTTTTACATGGTAACTGAAAAAGTGTTGCATATGAAACAAGTATTGAAAAAAGTTGCTGTAACTACTCCGCTCAATTATCACGGTTCTTATAAGAAATGTCACAAATCTATAAACTAGGAAAATCTTGGTGATACTATGACAAACACTTTATCAGTAAACATTTTATAACTCTTCCATAGTAACCAAACTAAAGCTGAAAATGCTAGTCAAAGTGGCGAGCTTTTAGAGTATTTGTGGCAACTTGGAAAATGACTCTTTAAGCATCTGGTATTGTTAAAAACTGTGTAAGATCCACATCAAAGACTGCATAAGTGAAAACATCGCTCTGAATAGAAGACTACGTATTAGACTACGGGAACAGTAATAGTATGGCTATTCCATGCCTGCTGAAGAAAAGTTTTGGTGGAAGTTTAGAAAAAAAAAATGAAAACCAATTTTTTTAGAAATGAACGAGAATTGGAACTTTTTCTATTTGAAGCGATTTTTCGAAGTTTACAAATTGTTTTAATCTTTTATTGCTATGTGAATCTGCGTATTAAAATTTTTGGTATGAGTCCTCCCTTCAAAACAGTTCTTTCTTTATTGAAAAGATGGATTGATAGAAAATTCACTGTTTCCGAATTTATATATCCAGAGCAGAATTTCAGTAATGCATTGCGTCTCTTGATGGCAACAGATCGTTTTGAAAAAACTCACAAAGACAACAAATTGGAAACTTGAATATATTGTATAGCTGGCCCACTGCATGCCATCACCATACAAGACATAAAAAGAGCCAAAAACACATGTCCAAATGAGTTTAAAGAATTTACGCCGTTCTTCAGAATGTACAAATTTTTTGCGTTTCGAGAATATATTATAGACTGAAAATATTGATGATTTTCACTCGTTTCTTTATTTTTTTTTACCGGACAAGTGAATGCAATACTGGCTGAGAACAGTATTCGAAGAAGTGCCATCAGGTACATTGAATACCTTACTGGAGTCTTATAAATTTTAATTTTAGAAACAACTTTGATTAAGATGGTGTTGAATATAGTTGAAATGAGAAATGCAGTGTAAAAGTTAACATCCCCAAAATAAGAATCATTGAAGTTTTGATAGAAGTTCGGATCATCAAAAACCCAAGCCATTTGGTATCTCAAAGTGAAATATTCGAATGAAAAATATATTTGAGTCTGACCAAGAATTCAAAAGTTTTGAATCAAAACTAAAACTTTCACTTTATGTCCGCTCGAACGAAGATGAGATCATGAAGACAGATGTTGTTCAGATGATCGAGAGGACTACTATTTTTTGATTTTTTGAGTTTTGAGTTCATTATGACACGAGTTCAAATTATTCGGTGGGGGAGGTAGACGTCTGGCGGACAGGATGTTTTTGGGTGCCTAGAAATGGCGTAAGATGTTTGGTTTTGTAGTTTGTGATTTTAGTGAAATTTCGTGGGAGTTGGCTAAAGGAATTTTTATAAGGCATGGTGAGTAAGAAGTATTGGAATATCGTAAAACCTGTATTAAAAGGGCAGATGTAATAGATGTGCCCCTTGAAATTGTGTTATTTGAAATTGAAAACGTTTCAAGTTACACTGTTCTTTGATTGAAACAGTTCTCGGCTTTGGTGAAATTGATAGCTTTTTATGAATTTTTAACTAGACATCACCTTTCGGGGAAAAATTTCGAAAAAAAACTGACTAGGAAAATAAAAGGGTCCCTCTAATTGAAGGTCCCTCCGAAGGTACCATAGAACAATAAAAAGGTCGACCTTTCTAATACAGGTTTAACGGTATTCAAAATTACAATTTTTCTGTTTCAGATATCCAATATAGGGTAATAAAACTTTTTATATTCATTGAGAAACTTCTTAATTGATCCATTTCAAGTTTTCGGCAAAAATTGTTGTTTGCTTCCCCTGAAGAACCTGATTAAACTATTAAATAGAGGAGGATAACAGCAGATCCCTACATTTTTCAATTTTTCTATACAGTTTCAAATTTTTCCTAACCGTCAATTGTTGAAAATTTCATCATTAGGTGTTCCATCTCTGCGCGAATCATATTATGGTGATTAAGATTCCCAATTTCTGATTTTAGACCTTTGATTATCAAAATTTTGCTTTTGTCTGTGAGCATGAGAATACACACTCATCCATTTTGGCACATGCAGAAAAAAGTACCATTTTTGATGTTTGGGTATAATGAGAAATTCTGTGTTTTCTGATAATCAGATGACGTCATTTTTTGTCTAGATGTTTGATATTTGAGCATCTGATGACAAACAATCTCTTTTTCATGGGCTTCATTTGAGTGGATGGATTTCTGAGTAGCTTTGATTCTGGGTGCGGATTGTTCTCTGACTTTAGATCTACAACACATTCTTAATTTCCCAGAACAAAAAAAATACACAACGATTATTCATTCCAAATGGAAAACCCTGACAGATTTGCTTTTGCTAGTTACTCCGCTAATTTTTGTATTAGTTGTTGTTGATTTTTTAGACATTTTTCTGGGAACCAGCTGGTCTTGTATGTTCTGAAAGAATTAGATTTTTTGGAAGAAAATTAGTTTTTGGAACCAATTTACCTTAACCATGACGATTACAAGAATCGGGTTGATCGCTGGACACCAGCAGAAAAGATAAAGAAATCGATCAGCTAAAATTCTTCCGGCAATGCCGAAAAATGGAAGAATGACAATGATGTAGAATGGGATATGGATAGTAATGAATGGGAGGATAAACTGAAATGTTTGTTATAGATACATCGTTATCTTTGATACGAATTGATATATTTGAGGTTCCGTGTCAAATGTTGCATTTTTGAAAAAGTAAAATTTAATATGTAGTTTAAAATTCAAAGTTGAATCTTTTTTATTAAACCGGTACCAAAAAAATCGGAGTTGATTTTTTTTTACAAATTTGAGAAAAAAATTGGGATGAATAGTTTTCATCGGCTGGGTCGAATGTCTGATTTTTTTTTCTCTGTTTCAGCTTCTATTTTTCAAGAAGACAATATTTAGATTAGTCAATCCGTATACGTCACTATGTATAAAATCACTAAATCTAACCTGCAATAACAGGGCCATATTCAATTGTTCCTGTGACTTCGTGGACACTGAACTAATCGAGAATCGAATCTTCATCTGCTTCCGAATGTAAAAATAGCAAATTCCGACTATCAGAATAGAAATAAACATGATGATCAGAATGAACAATGTGCAAATTTGAGAAAACAATTGGAATGGATAGTTTTCATCGGTTGAGTCGAATGTCTGGAATTATTTTTTCGGTTTCAGTTTCTACTTTTCCCGACGCCAATATTTAGACCAGTTAATCCGTCACTATGTATAAACTCACTTACCAATTGAACAGTGATAATGAGAAACGCTGTATTCCCCTGCTCAGCCAACTTCTCCAGTAGAAAACTGCTGATGTGGATTTCATAAAATGGAGGAATGTATCCGAAGAATATGAGAATCAGGGATGTAATGACAACAACAATTGGCATTATGGAGATGGTTTTGCTGAGTTCTTTGTGTGAGGATCTGGAAGATTTTATCGAATTTAGAGCACCTGAAATTGAACTTCGAAGTTTTGAAACTGATCATAGGTTTAACAGAGTACCAAAATAGTTTTTTAAATGCTTCAATTTTTAACTTAGAGTGTTATACAACTTTCATGGTTTTGACAGAAACCATCAAATTATCATCAAACGGAAACTGAAAGAAAAAACAAAAAAAGGTGAGTTTCTAATAACATAACAAAAACGACTATAGTAGACTATCCATTATGACCTTTTTGGGCTCTAGTATGAAAATCAGGCTTTTTAAAGGACCAGAATTTCAGGCTAGAGCCCATTTTTTATAACTTCAAATTTTGCACAATGACTCCATGGCGACAATGAAACACGAAAGAGAACTTTCTACTTTTTCAGTCCCTGAAACCATCAAAAAAAGTTTAACTCACTTTGATAACAAATTGGCCACTTGCAAATATTGTACCGCTGGTCCATTACATGACATCACGATGAAAGCAACAAAAAAAGACAGGAAAGTGTTTCCGAGAGGTGTTGGAGAATTGTAACCATTCTTGATGATGTACAAGGATTTGATGTTTTTGGAGTAGATTATGGCCTGAGAACGTTATACTTGATACAATCAGGAAGCTTTAAACAGATGGGGATATCATGAGTTTGTGAAACATAACATTTCTGAAATTGATTTTTACCGCTGAGGCTGAAAAAGCAGTTAAAGGCGCATCGTGCTACTGTAATCGTTACATAGCTTTTTGGGTGCTAGTTGTAAGTAAGTAAGTGTAAGTAAGTCGAATTTTCTCCCCATTTTTCGAAGATTCACATCGCTTTTTTAATAAAACTCTGTTGCGAATACCAAAAAACCCCAAAGTGAATTAATTTTAAAAAGAATCTCATCCCACAAATCCAGTAGATGAAACAGAAAAAAATTGTCAAAATCTCACCGGACAAGTCAACACAATTGTTATCGAAAAAGCCAATCTCAACAGTGCCATTGAATACATAGAGAATCTCACGGACTTCGTATAAGTCTTAATTTTGGATATCGCATAAATCAGAAGGCTATTAAAGACCAAACTGATAATTCCAGAGATATAACTGTTGACATCATCGAAAAATGTTCCATTGAAACTTTGGTACGTTAGAGGGGTCATCGTGCTCATTTTTTGAAAAGGTAGGGAAAGTAGTCAGAAGCTGGTTTTCAAAAATTCTGAAGTTGGAAAAAACCAAAACTCAGCGACTTGTTTTTGATTTTTCAATCTCTCTGATTTTATTAATTATCGACTGTTCTGTTTTTTAAATTTTTTTTCTGTTGTTTTTGTTTCTAACTAACGAACCCCAGAGAAATCTTTTCACTTCCTGGTCTGAAATATGATCTGAATTGTTTATAGAACAAAAATACAAAAAGGGTTCAATTACAGAGTCGACGATAATGATGATGATGCAGAAAGTTTATTTATGTGATTAGGTATTTGGGGGTGCAAAGAAAAAAAAAGAATGCATTCTGTGTTTACATTGTGTTTTTTACTGTGTCAGCAATTTTATAAAATAGCGAGAATGTGTAGAATTTTTTGATGTATATTATGATTTTCTTCCTATCAACAAGGAATCGAATGTGTTTCAAAGTAGTTCAAATTTTCTAGATTTCCTTAATCGTTTCAGTGGGAACGCATCATGATAAATTTTAATTAATAGAGATTAATGGCTTCTAAATTCCTTTATCGGTCATAATTTGGGAAGCTGAAACAGTTTCCCAACTTTGAGTCAATTTATCTCGTTTTCTGCGAAAGATACCAAAAAGGTGTCAACTGACAAAACTCTCATCATAATTTCTGTTTCGTCAGGATCTCTTTTTCGATAACTTATTGAAGAAAACTAGTTAAAAGTTAGAAACTAGTTAAAAGTTAGAGAATAAAGGGATGCCCTATTAGGGGGTTGAACACTGCTTCAGTTTCATTGGTATTGTTATTTCGATGTGGAGAACAATAAACGCCGACCATGAGTTCCAGTTTCTAGAACATCATGAAACAGTAAAAAAAACAAGAACATCAGATATGACATCATCTCTAGCCATTCCGGTAAGCACCGGAATAGGAATGCACTTTTCAGGATTCATTGTTCTATTGAGTTTTTTCTGTTGCTACTGGTCTATAAGTTCGGCAGAAATTTTTGATATAAATTTCGAAATCAATGTTCACAGATGCATGTTGATTAGAAAAGACTTCTAATGGACAAATATATTTTGAAAACGAAATGTCACAATATCAAAACTTTCCTGTTTCAAGATTTGCTGTAACATCATATTTTTGCATATCCATTTATTAGGATTCGCTTATTTTTGATAAAATATTATGAGACTCAGGTTTGGGTCCCACGACAGGGGTACAAGATCAAAATTAAATGAGAATATTGCATTTCACATTGGCCAAAATTGTTCCTGTTACAAATTTTTTGTATACGAAATCGAATTCTAGTCTAGTTTTATTGTAAAGGTTGTCATACATCAAGTTATTTACAACCATCATAAATTATTCTTTCAGATTAGGTACCTTCTAGATTTTTTTCTGTATTTATAGCGTTGTTCCCCTCACTGTTTCACTATTTTCGTCATCCAGAAAAATGACGTCAAATTTCCTCTCGTCCACAAAAAACACAACCGTAAATAACCTTCCTCCATAATCCCTAAAAACACCGCGCACAGTCATCCATGCATATCGTTCCAGATGTCTCTCAAGAGAAGATCCATTCGTCAGTCTCGGCCTCATTTTTTCTCGCATCGGTGTCTGCGTCTCCTACAAAGTGCACACTCTCTTCTCGTGTCCTCTTTTCCTTATCCATCTAACGTCTCTCTTCTCTCCACTATTCTCCATTTTTTCCGCTGACACACACACTCAACACGAAACGCACTGTGATCGATTATTGGTCTTCTTCTTCTTTTTTTCTTTTTTTTTCTTTTTAAAACATTTTCTTCTTTTTCCCCATTCCATTCGGTTTGTATGTTCTTTTGAATCTGTTACCACTAAACAATCTGTTATTGTTATCAATTGACACGTCATCTCCTTTTTACATTCTTTCTCTTCTTCGTTTTATCGTTCTTCTCCTTCTTCCCTTTCGACTATTTCAAACCATTTTCCCCGCAGAAATTCCTTTGAAAATTTCGATTTCATATTTCCCAAACTTTCCAGAATGGACTTCAACAAACATTTCAAAAAAGCCACGAATCGTACTAAAGAGAAGGTAAGTTGGTTTCTTCGGGTTTCTGGAAGTTTTTGGAGGTTATTGTTTTAGAAGGTTAATAATCAAAATTATTTTATTTTAACTTTAATAATTCGCACAAGCCCATAATCTCATATATTCTGTTTCAAGTTCCAGATACCACTTCAAATTGATTGACAGATTTATTATAGCTCTTTTTCAAACCCCATATTGTATTTCTAAATTTTCAGCTTCTCGAAGGAATCGGAAAAGCGAAAGCCACCCAAGACGAAGTTTTCGATCAGCACGCGGCTAATCTGCAAAAACAGAGCAAATCGTGTGAGAGATTGCACAAGGATGTTAAGGTGAGCATTTTTTATCTGAAAAGAGTTTTGAAGTACATGAAAAATGTCGAAATTAGTAGGCGCAATGATAAAAGGAATGTCCGCTGAAATCAAGTCGGTTAAAAATGTTATTTTTGAAACAGTATTTTGCATACTTGTAACAGGTCGGGCCGGACCGGGTTTGGCTATTTCCCGATTTTCAAGGCCCGGCCCGGTCCCGAAGCTTTACGAGTATGGTTTTTTTTTAAATTTCCCATCCAAACAAAAATAGCATTGTAGAGAATTTAATTGATTCTATTTGAATTAGCTTCAATGCTGTTAAAATCAATTTGTTCGAAAATGCTATTTTTGAAACATTATATATTTCGAGTTATTCTAAATGTCCTAAATGAAAAATTTGAAAATTTCGATATATGTTTAAAATTAAAAATGTTTCATTCGACAAGAAAATTAGGTTTGTGAATAAAACCTTTTTGATTCGAGAAAAATCATATCCAGAAGAATTAGATGAAGCATACTTTTTTGAAGAATACGTAAAAATATAATAAAAGCATTTTTTTTTCTGAAAAAGGTGTTGAAATACTGAAAAAATTGCGAAATCAGTTTGTACAAAATCTGAAGGAATGTTGTCTAAATAAATTCGTCTGCAAATGCAAAACTTAAATCGGCAAATTGAAACAGCATTTTTAGTTTAAAAATTTCTAATCTCGTCAGAAGTAGAACAAAACATTAATTAGTTCCGAAATGTTATTTTTAAAACAGTACACATATCGAGAAATTCTAAATGTCCTAGTTGGAATCTCTATAAATTTTGATAGATGTTTTTGTCCGAAAAAGTTTCATTTGACAACAAAATAAGTTATTTTGTTTGAAAATTCGAAACAATGGTGGAGAAGGACCTTTTTTTTCGATAAACTTCAACACTGTACAGCCAACTGCGACCAGTTTTATTTCGGTTCTAGTAAAACATAACAGAAATGTGAAACTGACAAAATATTTCTGGTGTTATAAGAAAGTTTTTGTCAGATGACAACTTTTTGATATCTTTTGCAGAAAATGAGATAAATTAGGTCAAAGTTGACATAGTGAAAATCCTATTTTGTTACCAATCGCAAAAAAACAGCGATTCGTCTATCGAAGTCTCCAGAGTTTTCCGATCAGATCTCAAGGTCGTTCCAAAATTTGGAGCTTTTTTAGGATACTTGAATCAAAATGATTTCTTGAAACACCAAATTAACAATAATTTCAATTTCATTTTGCTCATAAAACCATCAGTTTGACAGAAAATAGTATTAATGCCATTTTACGCACGCTAACTATGTCTAAAGCTATAATACAGGTTGTTTAAATCTTCAAACTCCATGAAGCTTAGTTTCTGTTTCAAGAAGTTCAGATGAAGTTTTGAAGTGCGAGGATATTAAAGGTGGGGGGACATGAAAAAAATAATGTTCTCGAAATTCCGTTCAAAGATGCCCCTCGAGGAGTTGAACTTGTGAGGGCGATGAGTGAGGGTGCGGCGCCGCTACCGACTGAGTTGCTACCGACAGGGCAAAGAGAAAGCGCACGCCCGATTGCATACATAAAGGCGAGGACGACAGATGTACGCAGAATGACATTAAGCGTTGTACGCCGTGACGGTAGAATGCATACTGTAGCTACAAAAAAACTACGGAAAATCTCCTGTCCCCCCACCTTTAATGAGTCTTTGTCACGCAATGGAAATTCTTATTCCAGACCTACGCCGCCGCTTTGAAAACTTTGCTAGCTGCTGAAAAACAACTCCGAGACACGATCCGAGATGCCTATGAGCAAGAATGGCCAGACCGAGAGCACCTCACAGCTATTTTTGATGTAAGATTTATCCTTTTTGAATTTTCGAAATCCCAGTTTTTTTTTCAGAATCTTGATATTCAAACCGACGAGTTGGAGAAGAAAGTGTGTGAAGACTTGCCACAGACTGTGACGCAATATGTTAATCAGTTCCCAGATTTAAAGAAGAAGGTAGTTTGGACTTTTAGACACTACTGTAGTTGTATAATTTTACAGATCGAAAAGCGTGGACGCAAATTGGTGGACTATGATAGTGCCAAGAATTCGTTTAATAGTTTGAAAGCGTCGAGTAAGAAGGTAAGCATATCTGAAATTCATTTTTTACCGTTTCATAAACTTTGTGAAATTTGATTTACGAATCTGAAAACGTTTCGAATTCTGAGTGTACAAAATTCCAGGATAGCGACCCAAAACTTGCCAAGGCTACTGTAGAACTGCAAAACGCTGAACAAATGTATACAGAGATGAATAATGAGTTGTTGGAGGTGAGGGAAAATGGTTCAGAACCTATGACTAAATTAGAATTTCAGATTCTCCCAGCTGTATATGATAGTCGGATCACCTTCTTCGTGGATACTCTTCAGTCACTCTTCAATGCGAATAGTGTCTATCAGACGGATGCTAGCAAGGTAAAACGATTCACAAAAAATGGTCGAAACTTTTTTATTGAAACATTTAAAGTTTCAAACATGCACTTTTTTTTTGGAAAAAGAGTATCGATTGAAAAAAAAACATGTATGAGACATAATGAAAAATGTAAAACAGGAACATTTTCAGGTTTTTGTATTTTTCAGGTTTTTGTATGTTCAGTATATTTTTTGCAAACAATAATGATCAACTAGAGTTACCATTAGATAAGCTTTTTCCATAGAAAGTTATCCATTTCATTATCTTTTTTTGTTGATAAACTTAGAATTGATGAAAATCTCTCAATATTGCAAATTATTTTTTCTTGTCATAATTGCCATACGAAACTGCAAAATTCTAAAAATTCAATACCGAAATCCAAATTTTAGTTCCACAAACAAATCGTAATGCAACTGGACAAACTCGGAGAATCTATGGACTATCTTCGAGTCGCCCGACCAGAAGCTCGTGCTCTCACTCCGATCGACACCACCTCCTTAGCTTCATCGAATGCTCCAGCTACACCGGATCCAAGTAAAGCTGATGTGAGTTTTTTGATAATTCGTAGTCGGGTCTAAAACAGAATTTTTAACTCTTTCCGCAAATGAAAATGGAACACAAAAGTTAGTATTTATTTTTCATTTCATCATGCTTACAAGGTGCGATTACTTCCTTCAACTAACAATAGGTGCAGGATAAGGCTGCTAAATAAGAATTAGTATTTTACGAATTCGCTTCTTTACTGAAATCCCATAAAACGTTTCCAGAGCACCTCTCTCCGTCAATCCACCCCGTCTCCAACTGTGGTTGTGTCCCCAGCACCAGCTGCAGTTCCAACAATGAAGCCAAGAGAAAGTGTCGTTTCTATGGTAATATTTGGAACTAACAATCCGATACTATTTTGATACTATCTATATCTATACTTCTACCTGAACATGACTTCATGAAACTGAAAAAAAAATTTCCAGGCCAACTCAACTAATCCATTCGACGATGAAGATGAGACAGCAGAAGACGAAAAAGAAGCTACACCAACCACGGAAGTCGAGGAAAAGTTTGAGACCAAAGTTTATCCGGTAAGTAGAGAGAAAGTCATTTTTCAAAAAAAAAAATGAAGAGGAACAAGATGTAATAATGTGGGGGTTGTTTTCATTTTAGAAGCTCAACGCTCAACAAACAGCTGCTGCCGATCAAGCAATTGCGGCGGCGAGAAGACAGAAGAAGGTAAGTTAGGGGATTTTGGGGTTAAGATGAGAGGGGGATTAAGGGCGTGCGAAACTGAGAATTTGAAACTCCAAAAATTTCTACCCTTTACATAAATCCAAATGCCGTAAATGTTTCAATGTAGCGCCAATGTAGGTACAACTCAGTTATCACAATTCCTTCAAAAGATATCAACAAACTGTCAACTGATAAGATGTTGGTGATATTATGATAAACAATTTATCAGTTGACAACTTTTTGATATCTCTTCTAGAAATTGAGTTAATTGAGTTCAAAGGGAACGCATAGGTTAGGTTTCTGTTAGAGCGAATACGGTAAGCAAGCGCTGTCGTATTGCATTAGAAATGAAATAATATGAATGGCATATATTTGAAATATAACTTCTCGAAAATGTCTTTTTCCAGGAACCATCCAACCCATTCGACGACGAGGACGACGAAAAAACTGAAGTTGAGTATCCAGTGAGCCCGAAGAAGGAAGACAAAGAGCCAGCACCAAAACCATTGGACGGAATTACCAATGAAAAACGGAAGACCCTTTACTTCGTCACCTCGACTCACGAATACAAAGCAGTTGATACAGATGAACTGAGTTTTGAACCAGGAATGAAAATTAAAGTGATCGAAGCGAATGATGCTGATCAATTGGATGATGGTTGGAGACTTGGAGAGTTGGAGGATGGAAAACGAGGAGTGTTCCCGGAGAACTTCACCAAGAAAGTTTAAGCCAGTCGATTTTGAATTCTTCTTCACCTTCTTAAAGTTATTTTCAGTTCCATGCATTTTTTCCGTATGACATAGTATTCCATTTGAAAGATTCTATTGCACCCACCCCTTCCCCCCATAAATTGTGATTTTGAGCATCGAAACTCTAGCTTCCCCTTGTCTCTACTTATTCTCCCCTGCAATAACAGTTTCAAAATCTTTATTAAATAAAAATCAACTCAAACTTCCATCAGCGGATGCTTGATAAACAGTCAACAGAGCATTCAACTCGGGAACTTTAGTCATTTCACTCAATTTATAAGGATTGGTATTACAGAAAGTTATCGAGGGAAATGGTTCGGAATCCAGCCCAGTGTTTAATTGAACGACTACATTGAATGCCAGATAGGAAGCCAGAATTGAGTAGAACATGTAAACAAAAGCAACGGCACTGATGATCATGATAATGCTCCAAACGACGACAGCGATTACTGTGTGGGCTTGAGCCATATGGGGAATTCCGTGAAGACTTGCTGTCTCTCCCCATTCCTTGAGATGTGTTTTGAAGCGTCTGTAATAGCATAGAATTTAAGTTTTAAACAGAGCAAGCATATATACAGTGCCCGGGAAATGGTTGGCTGGATCATAACTTTTCGAAACAAAATCAGTCAATAGTGTAGAGAAAACTTATGTGTACGCGTAGCTCTGCCAGTGTTTCGCTTCAAGCCTTTTATACGCAAAAATATTTATATTTTATCATTTTTCGGAAAAATGGCAGAGACCTGAAATCGGTTATTTTATCGTTGAAGAATTATCCGTTTCAGCTAGCGGTGAAGAAGAGGAACAGTTGATTACAGTAATACATACGAGTTAGTACGAGTAGTTTTAGAATTTCATTTGAAAAAAAATTAAAATCATTTTATGTCTCATTTTTTCGGTTTCAATAGGGACATGAGTATTTGATCAGATATGTGGAAATTAATGGGAACGGAATGCTCTGCATTATTTTTAAAAACATGTTAAAGTTTGGAGTGCTTAAAGGTGGGGGGACAGGAGATTTTACGGGGGATTTTTGGGGCCAGAGTATGCATTCTACCGTGACGGTGTACAACGCTTAATGTCACTCTGCGTACATCTGTCGTCCTCGCCTTTATGTATGCAATCGGGCGACCGCTTTCTCTTTGCCCGTGTAGCTCAGTCGGTAACGGCGCCGCACCCTCAATCATCGTTCCAACAAGTTCAACTCCTCGAGGGGCATATTTAAACGAAATTTCGAGAAAATTATTTTTTTCATTTCCCCCCACCTTTAAAGGTGGAGAGACATGAAAGAATACATTTCTTGGAATCCCGTTCATATGCGCTTCTCGAGGGGTTGAACTTGTGGGCTCATTGTTGGAGGTGCCGCACCGTTACCGGCTGACGGTGGCGCAAGCTGGGGCGGCCGAACGACGTAGTATATAAGAAGATAGGAATCATGAACACTAAACACTGTACACCGTTACGACGGAATGCACACCCAACTCCAAAAAACACTATTATAAATCTCCTGCCCCCCCCCCCTCGTTTAATGCGATTTCATCTAAAAAATCGTTTTCTGTATCAGCGAGCGGTGAAAAAAAACAAATTTCACCTAATAAAATAAAATTATATTTTGGTTATATTTTTTCCGGTTTCAATAGGGTCATAAAAGTTCAATCAGATAAATTAAAACTAATAGGAACGGTCTTCGTCACATTTTCTAAAAGTGTGTCCACCTCTCTTATGTAAAAAAAAAACTTTCTGTATCAGCTAGTGGTGGAAAAGAGGAACAGTTGATTGTAATTGATAGTACGGGGATTGTCTAGGCAATAAAAAAATTTGAAAAATTTGTGAACGTTTTTTTTCGGTTTCAAAAAGATATAAAAATGCAATCAGATGAGTTAAAATCAATGGGAACTGAAGGCAGCTTACAATTTCAGAAGGAACGCATGGACCGAACTTCCGATAAAGTTTTTACTTTTTCAAAACTTCGATATTTACCAAACCAGTTCATTGCTAACATTTGAAACCCAGTATTGTTCTAACTCACATCCATCTTGTATCCGGAGCCTCCTCGTGAATCTTATCCTGCTCAATGTCACTCACAATCGCTTTCATTTCATTGTCATCCAGTTCCGAGTCGAATTCGTCCTGAACTCTTTTTTATTTTATTTTTCAAATTCCTGCCATCTTACCGATAACGAATCCTTTCGCTTCCGAAGACCTTCATCAGATGGGAGAGCCATTTTTTAATATGAAAAATGTGAATCAAAGAAGTACCTCAGAAAGTTTTAGACGAAATTTTTTGGAAGTGTGAAACAGCAAAAAAAATGTGTAAAAAGTTTAAGTGACTATGGTTACGGAATATGACTTATTCATAAGTTTGAAAGTGAATAGAAAATAATTCGAACAAAAGAATGAAGGATGAGATGTCCCCAAAAAATAGGGGTCTGACGAATGAATGTGCTGAAATGCACTACAGAAAATCATAAGACAGAAAATTTCAACAGATTATTTTATAAAAATACAAACTCAACTCGGGCAAATATATAGTGTCATGTATATGAGTTTATTGAAACAGAAGTTTTTAAAATTTAATTTGTAAAACTTCGAAATCAAAAAACAGAATTCGTGATTCATGGAGACGTGCGACGAACAATCTTTCCACGTCTATTGATCACCCGTGGAGGAGTTTTGAGATCCCGAGGGTCGAAGCTTGAGGCACGAGCTTGTCGTCTGAAAATTGTTTTTTTTTGCAGTTTCGACATTATAGCTTTCGGTTAGAAATATCGGACATTCCGATCAGACGTCGTATTTTTTTTCTTATTTTATTTTTACTCACCTTGGCGGCTCTAGACGATTGGTTCTTCCTAGAAGTTCGGGGACGAAGATCTGAAATTTGGCTTTTAAAAAAATGCAGTTTCAATTAGGATATATAAAATAGGTTAAGCATTGAAGTTTTGTTGGGACTGTGATTACTGCAATAATAAACACGTTGGTATTACAAGTTTGTAAAAATAAATATTCTCGACTATGTTCTCTTTAAACCGTTGCCAAAGAGCGGAAACCCAAAAGTTGGCACAGCCATATTTATATTTTAAAATACCGTTCCAGCTAGGTAACAAGAAAATTGGGCTCTTTTCTAGTTTAGAGGTCCCAAAAAAATTTAGAGGTCCGAAAAAAAAATTAGAGGTCCCAAAAAAGTTTAGAGGTCCCAAGAAAAAATAGAGGTCCAAAATACGAAAAACGCGCAGATGTTGGAATAATGTACTAGTATTTGAACTGTGCGAGTAGTTTGAGTTTTAGGGTCTTATAGGATGATATGACTACTCCTAACAATTTTAGCTCCAATTCTCTCGCATCTTGCAGATGAACCCCAATTTACATATGAGGAAAATTTGGGCAACACAGTAATCACTCCGTGATTATGCTGTCTCTCAGGCTTAGATAATTGTCAGAAAATATGCATTCCTAAGCCTATTAGAAGTATAAAATATATCATCAACAATTATTTTGCTATAAGACCTCAAAACTTTAAATTCTTACACAATTCAAATTTTAGTACATTATTCCGGTATCTGTGCATTTTTAAGTTTTGGACCACTATTTTTTCTTGGGACCACTAAACTTTTTTGGGACCTCTATTTTATTTTGGGACCTCTAATTTTTTTTTCGGACTTCTATTCTTTTTTGGGACCTCTATTCTTTTTTGGGACCTCTAAACTAGAAAAGAGCCGAAAATTTTAACTTTTCTCAAATTTACTATTTGGACTATTACACCAACCTTATTTCTAAATCCCCTGACTGCCGAAGATGCTCCAATAGAAATCAGAAGAAATGCGAGTAGGAAAAGGAATTTCATTTTTTAACGGTTTTGGGAGATCTGGTTTCGATATTCTTTTATACCCACCTGATCACAAATAACAGATTGAAAGGTAAACTTCCTCCTCTCTTTTGTTTATTTGCACACACCGTTCGTTTTGTTATCAATAACAAATGACAAGAGTTACTGTTTCGAGATCAATGTTTTTAAGTTTTGGAAGTTCCGTTGCTAGTTTAAGTGACAGACAAAGAATATAATGTTCCAATTTTGAACTGTTAGATAGTCTCTTTTGGAGTCCTGAAAAAATAGTCCAAAAATGTTTGATTCGTCTGAAAATTTCAGAGTACACTAAACAAAATTAAAGTTTCAGTTTTGAAATTACAACTTTTTTGTTTAAATGCGAGTAGAACAAGCAGTTTCAAAGTGGCACAGCTCTAATTTTAGTGCTTACAGTTACAAACGGCTTATTTCATCAGAATGGAATTCAGTGAAAATGTGAAACTTACAAAAACTTTTTTTAAACATTTAGTCGAATCTGACAATTTCAGAGAAATGAAAAACTTCTGGAATAGATTTTCACGACTCGTAGAATTCCAGATATTCTCCTTCCAACAAACTCACCATCTCCTCCCTCGTCTATTCTCCGGATCTCGTTCCGTTGTCATAAATTCTTCACACACCTTCCTTCCGCTTCCCGACAATTTCACAATAGAATGCACCAGGAGCTTCCCATTGAAAATATATGAACATGTATGTCACCCCCTAAAATTTCCTCTTTTTTTTCTTCCTCCCACCTCTCTTCTACTTTATGCATTCATTTGAGTAATGCACCTGTCCAAAGCTCTAATTGTCTGCCGTCTCCTCTCCCTCCCACACTATTTTGTCCATTTGTTCTCATCCGTCTTCGAGCCGCTTCCGACTACATCCAATTTGGGTTCCTCTCTCCCCGCAAAAGGAAAAGAAACGAGGGGAAATTGCACTTTGTGAAACCGATCCTTCGTTTTTCACCTGCTTTTCCTTTGAATCTCTGCGTCTCCACCATTCCATACACTCTCTTGGAATGTTGTTCAGTTTTCCTGAAAAGAAACCTTATAATTAACAAATCATATTCTACTGCTCTCTCTCCCACCCACTCCGCTCAAATGCAACAAATTTCGTATCATTTTTGCAGATGGAACTCTCGTAGAACATTTCAATGTTCTGCTTCCTGCAGCTACCGTATCATCCGAAGAGTACTGTACACATTTCCACAAAAGATAGGATTACGAATAGTGGCAGGTGAGATAAATGGAGAAAATGAATGGAGTGGATTAGGCGAGGGATTAGTATTTCTTTTTCTGTTTCATGAGATGCTCATTAACAAGTGAGATTCTGAGTGACCGTTACAAGTTTAATTCTGAGTGAACGTTACAACTTTTGAGAGTAAAATTATTCTGACTGAAACATCATACAGTTTTCTCTCTAAAATGTTTTCAGACCTAGACTTATTCGGATTTATTAAATTTTGTAGAAATTGATTAATTTGAAAATTAAAAAAAAATGTTTCGAATAGATGTCAAGTTTATAACGATTCATGGACATTGATAGAGAGACTAAAAATTAACCTAATTCTTCACATATTTTACGTTTTAAACTTGTTCCAAGTGCACACTAAGTATTCAAAAATTGTTTGGTTGTCGTTGTCAAAAATTTTGAATGCGTTCTTTCTTGATAGATTTCAACGAAAGATTTCGAATTGTTCTCACATTGATTGTAGAAATATTTGAACTTTTTGAATTTGTTCAATTTTGAAAACTCATAAAATTTAATGTTTGAAACAGATCGGAAGTTAACCAGTTAATTACCATAGATCATTGAGTTTTACCTAATTCTTTTAAAACATGTTTGATGTTTCAGACTAGTTACAACTGCAAAATCAGTTTTTAAAAATTGATGTCTTGAAATTGATACATGCGACATAAAAATCTATTATATTATCCAAAAATTATAACTGTTATTACTGGTAGATTCATATTATCCAAAAATTATAACTGTTTTTACTGGTAGATTTTCTACGATTGTTAGGTGAAAACTTGTGTAAAATAGCTGGAAGCTGAAATTTCATTTTTTTTGAAGTCTATTTTTTCCTATAAACGATTTATTCACAAAATTTCTGTTTCACCTTGATGTTAAAAGTTTATTCAAATTCTTAGATTTTATTTTTTGCCGGTCTTTTCTAAATATATTTTTGTTAATACACAATAATACATTGAAAGTATTAACATTTCGATGATAACGCTGAACCAATGATGTTATAGATTGACTTTGTTCATTTGTATTTGTGGCTCGATCCCATTGTTTTTGTTTATCGGTATCATCAATCGTAGTTCCCTTTCTCTTCCTGATCCTAGTGACTAGAATATTATTACGAAGCTGGCAAAACATTTATTGTCAAATAACTTATTTTTGAAAACTTAAATTTTCAGACATTTTTAGAGATTTTTATATATTTGAACTGGAAAATAGATATCAGAATCACTAGAAATTATCATTTTTTTTGAATTATTGTTACTACGAAAGTTAACCACGATTCAATCAAAGTGCTATAAAGAAAACGATCAATATACAAATACGGTAGAACTGAATTTTTCTCTAAAATAGCCTATTTTAAACAGGAGCGTTTTTTTCTGGATTTTCACAACTAGATGAATTCCTTCAAATTTGAAAAAAAAAATTCGCTCCTCCAATCTTAGCCCTTTCCCTTCCGCCAGACACTTTTCGTAGTCGGTTTCGTTCTGACTGGAAAAAAATGCCGAAAAAATAATTCTAGATCCATATTCATTCTTTACATTATTCATAACATAGGCTGACACCTTCTTCACTTAACTTCAAAAAATTCTGGAAAAGAAAATTGAAAATTCTGATATTTCCGGGAAAAAATGAAACACAATTTTTTTCTGCAAACTCCTTCTCCTGTCTCTCTTCATAATCCCCCTTTTTCCAGGTTATATCAGTATTATTCCGCGGAGATGACAGCCGAAGTTATTGATTATACTAGAAGGAATTTAGGTGAGTTTTTTGATGAAGTGAGCAGAAAAAACATGAGAATATTCCAGAAGAAGCAATGAATCATTCTGAGCGTCGAATGTTGTTTCGGAGAAGCAGAAGTGAACCGATGACGTTGACAAATGAGAATGCGACGATGACTAGTAGGACGTGAGTTTTACTTTCGATTGTTTATGGAAAACTGTGAAAGAAAATCTAGATCTCAAAAAGAGAACATTTTGAAACTGAAAAAAAAGTGAAAATCTTATTTAATTAAGCTAATATAAATTGTCCATTCAGCATTTTTAGTTAGCTCGTTAAAACTTGAGATTTCAAATTTTCTCTCTCGTTCTGCTTCTTATACCGTACCATATGAGAAGCTGCAGATGTATCATAAAAAATGGCAAAATAAAGTTATAATAATTCACAAATACATAGGCACCCTTCAAAAATCAATTGCAACCGTATTTTTTGAATTTTCATCGATAATCCAATCCATTAGAATACGAACCATAAAGTTACTGTTCCATTAGTTTTATAATTAACTTCAACAAAGAAAATTCAAGCACTTGTCTTTTACCTGTGAAGTTAAAGGAGACATGAGGTTTTTTGGAGTTTTTTAGGGTTCGGTATGCATTCTGGCGAGATGATGTATATTGATTGGTTTTGACACACCTTTAATCGAATTCATTTCAATACAAGACAGAAACTTACTCTTTCATGAGTTTCATGGTTAAATTTGAGCACTGATGTTTTAATGTGAGGCTGTTAGTCGTTTTTTATCAAAAATATTCCCATTTTTCAGTGATCCCGAATGGAATATGACGGTCGACTCGATATCAATTCAATCCTCATTTGCCGAGTACCAACACCGTAGGAAGCAAAGATTGAAAAAACAGGAGGCACATAAAACTTCTGAGGTTGGTTTACAGACCGGGATGTGCGTGAAAATTTTATTTTACGAAATACAAGCTCGTAAAATCGTGAAGATCGTAAACGTAAAATTCGATCACAGAGGGAGATCAGTATCCTAAAATTAGCAACGAAAACTTTGAAAACATTTTGAAGCAGAATATTTTTCATCGGCATCAAACTTGATGCGTTGAAATTTGTTTCCTTGTTGTCGATTTTTTATGAGTTCTTTGAAGAAAGTATTGATATCAAACCAATGTTCCAGGATTTGTGGATTGAAACATTAATAATTTTATGTGACCCAATTTAAAAAAAGGGAGAGTAGATTTTTTATATTTTTTTAGCCAGAGTATGTATTTGGACGGTGTACAGCGAGCGGTGTTTGCACATTTCACTATCTCTTGTGGCTATCGTTCCCGACTGCGACCACGTAGCTCAGCCGATGACAACACATCCCCTCCGATATCTTGCCAATATCTTGGGGGTCTTTGTTTGTCGAGAGAGCAATATTTTGAAATAAAATCCAAAATTTTGAAAACATTTTGAAGCAGAAAATTTTTCATGCTAGAAACTTTTTGCCAAGTCAATGGTAATTCACCTCTGTTTCCTTGAATGGCGAATATCAGAGCTCATTAATAAATACAAATTCCTTATCCAATTTCGTCCCAAATGAATACGCATCACTTCATTCGTGGCTTCTCATCTTTCCCCCTCTTCTCCCGCTATTCTCTATTTTCCCCTTCAGTTTTTTGGTCTCCATGACAACTACGCATATCTAATGGTAGACGACGACGAAATAGGATGCGAGGATACAAACAGATTCTGACAGGACAGACACCCTCTTTTGCTCTTTTCTGTCTCCTTATTTCCTCCCCCTTCCTCTCTTCGACCTCATTTACGGGGCTCATTTTCTTCTTGTCGTTGTGCATTTAACGGAAATTACATTGTTCGGTGTTATATTTTCGGCGCAAATAATTCCTATTTTAGTGCTATCTATTTATTGGGCTGTTATTTTTCCCACTTTCAGTAAATAATTAGATGAAAAATTACTGTTTCCAGAAGTACAGATTAGTGACCGTAACATGACAGGGTTGATCCACCGCTATCCCCTTTAAAAATTTTTCTTTGAAACATGTACATTTTGACGTGGGATGTCGGTGTTTACACATTTCCCTTTCCACCGTACCTCTTTCATGTCGACCATCAATCGTCAGCTTTCAACTGTGACGGTAGCGGTGCAACAAGTTCAACTTCTCGAGGACCTTGTATTAATATAATTTTATGATGCCCCTTTACTGATAAGTTTACTGATAAGTTTGGAAAAAATCAAAAATTTGCTGCAAAATGAGACATAAATCTAATTTCTAGGACCATATTGAGCCGAGTTACAGCTATTCATAGTTCTTGGTCAGAGGCGAAGTGTGTATCGTTTCTCTGCATCTCAAACCTTGTGTTCAGACCTGTATTAAAAAAAACCCCCTTCAATAGAATGACCCCTCTAATCGAAGAACTTTTCAAGAGGGGCTTGGAAAGATAGAAAAGCTCCCTACAAAGCTAAAATTTTCTAGGAGCAGGTGCACTTTGTTTTTCAAATTTTTAAAAAAGTCGTACAACTTTTTTTTTCATTTCAGAAATTCTATATTTTTCTATTTTTCAATCAACCTTGATAATTTCGTGTCTTCTATTTCTATCAATTCAAACAACTTCCAGATCTCCATATCAACCGAAACATCAGACCATCTTGAAATGAAAGGGAACTCGGATCTTGAAGACGTTCTTCAGTTTTCCGATGAAAAGGTGGCATCGACGCTCTCGCTGACTGATAGTGATAATAGGTACCTCCTTTTTTTCTATACTTTCAGTTCTAAATTTCCAAGCTTTTTAGCTCAAACGACATCACATCGAGTCAAGCTCAAGAGATCAGCTATGAAGAGGAAATGCGTTTGTTCATGGAGAAAACGGGACACCTGGTGACCAATGTTTTCGCGGATCCATTCGATTCGGATGAGAGGAAAAGTCGAACAGAGATGTGGGTTGAGGCGGCGTCGACGGAGAAATTGGCAGATGGGGAGAATAAGAACAAGGAACAGGAGGATTTGGTTTTGGAGAATGGGAAGATTTCGTCTGCAGAAGATGTTTTTGGAGAGACTTTTGAATCTAATGAGAATAAAGAAGAAACTGTTGAGGACGACGAGGAGGAGGAGGATGAGGTGACAGAGTTCGAGGAAGCTGTGGTGGTTTCGGAAGTGGCAGAAGTTTCCGAAGAAACTGGAGAAGAGGTTCAGGAAACTGTCAAATATGAGATTCCACCAATTATTCATCAGGTAACAAAATGTTCTCAATGGGGCGAAAATTTAGGAAACATTGTATTGTCAATTCAAAAAGATCGCACCGGTGAACTCACAAACAAACAAGTAAACAAGGGGGCGGAGCGATCCGCCCCTTTTCGCAAAGACGCCGTGCATTTTTTCGACGGTATTTTAGCGATGCCGTTTTTCGGTAATTTTTCATCGAATTTCTTCCGAATTAAAGAAAATTCGTCGACTTTGTGAAGGAATATATAACTTTGTTATAATAAAAACTGAGAAACACAATTGGGAAACACTATTCTTTGATTCAGGGTGAAAATGAAATGAGCAAGACCATGTGACGTATCGAATCCTGCAATGATGAAAATAAGAAGTAGAAAAGCTTCGAGGCCACATAAAACATGAATTACCATTGCAAAGTTTCCTGAAAACCTCAAAAACTCGATCGGAGAAGTATTTGGAGTAATTTGTCGACTAACAGCAGATTATTCTTCACTTCTTCATAGTTGTGATACCAGAAGGCGATTTTTCTTATTAGTTGATGGGTGAATTTAAAAAAATCGACAAATTCCCTTTAATTCGGAAGAAATTCGATGGAAAATTACCGAAAAACGGCATCGCTAAAATACCGTCGAAAAGATGCGCGGCGTCTTTGCGAAAAGGGGCGGATCGCTCCGCCCTCTTGTTTACTTGTTTGTTTGTGAGTTCACCGGTGCGATCTTTTTGAATTGACAATAACTAATAAATCGAATCATGATGCTGGAATGAACTGCTAAGCGAAAGAGTTTTAGGTCATATCATCGCTGTCTGAAAAAATGAAGGTTAGAGAGTATTTTTTGCAGTCTGAATACGGTAGCGATATCGAAGCGGCGAGCCTAAATAGCACATATTAAGTGGAGACGCAGACTTTTTTTCTCTGCGTCTCAACTTTCATTTTCTCAGACAGCGATAATAGTACTGAAACGGGGAATTTTGATTTCCAATTTTTTTTCGAGAAAATTATTTTAAATCTTTGAGAAAAATACTTTAAAATAGCGGAAAAATGCGTTAAAAATTTGGAAAAACTTGATTGCTTGCAAGCGGTATATCTCGCTTTGATGAACTTGTAAAAAAAGATCAACTACAAAGGTGAAGTGTTTCATTCAAATTCAATTATACTTAATTGAAACAGGATTTTTTGAACGTTTTATTTTTCCAGGACACCAAAGAATCGCTGCTCTCATCGAATATATCAACTAACAGTCTGATGAAATCAAATATGAACCATCATCTGAAAGAAGCTTTGTATGCTGAAAGTGAAGTTGATGTCAAGGATGTCGATAGGTTAGTTTGGTTGATAGGGTGATCAAATTTTGGGAAGTTGTAACCGTTTTCGGTGTTTTCGAGACTGCGGTCTTCATGTTTTACCGACCAACGGTGAAGAGACAGTTTTTACCGATCTTTATCGTACAAATTACTGCAACAAAAAACATCGATAAAAACACAATTTCAGAAACAGCAATGTTTCGAAAAGTAGTTTGTAGTAAATGGAAGATACCACTTCTGGGAACTAATTGTAAGAAGAAAAACCAGACTTACTGTAATATTTTGGTTTCGAAACAGTATTTTTTTGAACAGTAATCTTTTACAGGTTCTGGGACTATCTGTACGAGAAGGAACTCCCGGAAAATGGGGAAAAAATGTACTCGATCAATCTGGCTGGACCATCAACTTCTACTAGTGAACGGTAAGAAATTTTTCAATCACTGAATTTCTTGAAATTTCTCCAAAATTTGAGTTGTAAACGAAACTGTAAAATTTCCAAATTTGAAGGTCACTTGGACTTGCGTTGTCACCAATCAAAGTGAAATTTTCGGGAATTCAAACTAATAAAGTTTACAATGTAAGTTGTCTTTTTGTTGGTTTCTAAACCCAATCTTCGAATACTTGAATTTTCAGCCAGAAATAGTGCCCAAAGAAATGGAAAACGAGCTGGAACAAGATCGAGAACTGGACGAACCGCTGGAGATCACTGATCAAACTGTGGAATCTAGATTTTTCGAATTGGAGACTACAACCAAGCTTGAGAGAAATGAGCCGGTTCTACAAAAAACTTCTGTATCACAAACTCCGATTTCTCATAGTTTAGTGCAAATTGTGAATTATGAACAACAGCCAAGAATCAGATCTCAAAGTCAAAATGGAAGAGTTTCCTATGAGAAGGAGAATATGTGAGTGGTATAATTGATGATTCTGGAAATATATTGAGGTTTTAGGGTTCGAGAATTCTCATTCAAAATGTCTGAAAGTCTTTTCAAAGATCTGAAAGTGTTGGTTGTGGAGAGGGATCGAGCAAAAGAGGCGATGGCAATACTTCCAGCAAAGTCAATGAAAGAATTGAGCGATGAGTGTAATTATTTTCAGACGGTATGTTTTTAATGTAACTGTTTTAATGAGAATATATCTTTTAATACATTTTGATGTGACAGGGCTTGCTGAAAATAACATGAGTCGATTTGGCCATGACAGTATTAATCAAGTTTGTTAGAAATCTGCTTTTTAATTTTTCACCTGGTCAACGGACAAAATGGAATAGCTAGTTTTCCATCTATTTAACATTTTTGAAAACATAGTTTTTTTTTAAATTCTACATTGTAGTGTAAGGAATATAAATTTTCATATTAAAATCACATAAGAAATCCAACCAGATGTGAGGGCTGTGATAGAAGAGAACATTTTACAAAAGAACACAATAGAAAAGGTTTGCGGACGCCGGCCGCGGACTAGAAAAATTTCTCTTCCATCACATTATACTTTTGATTCTGAAATTCATGTTTTCACACGAAGTACAACGAAAAAATCAGCATACGGCTTCATAATACTGGATATCACTTTTATCCTTGATTTTCAAAAATCCCCAATTTTCGTGAATCTGTGAATGAATTTCCAAATAATGTATCCTCGAACTAATGAAATATAAAATTATCCAAGTTATTTGTGATAATTTTGAAGCTGTAATTTTTAAAAACTTCGAAATTTTCAAATTGAAAAAATCTGCATATATAACTTTTAAGCATGTTACCTAGGGCAAAAAAGTTTGTTAGAAAACTGGAAATTGCACAATTTGCACAAGTCGTTACGAGAAAAGGAACTATTCACCAAACGTGTCTGCTATAAAATCAACTATGTGAAACAGTAAAATCAAAAACGGATTCGTCCTAACCACAAGTTTCATTTTCAGCGCTATCGTGTGCGAATCGAGCAGAACAAAGAAAAACTGGATCGTCGAATTGATGAAATTTGGAGAAAAATGTTAAAAATGCCAATTGAATCTCAAGAAATGGTCGATTTCATCAGTGTGCCCTACAGTGATCAACTAACGTGCAATGCCAGAAGAAATTTGCCAGAAAAGATGTGAAAACCCAGTATGTTTCTATTTTCGATTGAAATTTTGAATGAAAACAGTTTATTTCAGGTTTCCATGAATAGTGATGAGCATCATTGATACATATCGAAAATAGAAAACAAACAAGAACATGGAGAGACAAAATTCAATTTTTTTAGAATGATAAATGTGATATTATTTTACTTTATTTCAATTTCTTTTCCCCTGTCTTTCTTGATCAAACATTCTTCCTGAAGAAACAAAAGTAAACCCAATGAATGAATGAAAGAAAACTTGGTTGTTTGGATTTTTCACAAAACTTTTCAGGAAACAAAGTATGAAAGGAACCAATTTTTCAGAGAATTTGTATTCTCCTCCAAAACCAAACTTGGTATCATTGTACTAACCCAAATGGTTTTAGATGCCGAATAATTTTCAAAAAATAAATCCGAATTTCTTGTAGTTTAACAAATATTGAGATAGATAAACGTTTCTAGAAAATTTGCTAGTATTCTAATTGAATGTTCTGTTCCAATGCTACGACAAAAAGGATCTCTTCGCAATTGAACGCGGAATTATTGAATGCTAGATGAAACTGTAAAAGATTTTTATGAAAATTGTTTAAAGTTCTGAAAATTTTATGAAAGTTTTGAAGACCCTAATTTTTTTAATGGTAGATCAAAAAAGATAACATTCGAAGAATGGGTGGCAAGAAAAATCAGTTGTTTTTCAGTTTTGCTGGATGAGCCAGAAAACCGTTTCGATTTTTCGCTTTTGTTTTTTCAAATAACTTGATATTAATATAGTCATTGTGTGGTTCTTGAGAATACGATCGATTTTTTCAGTTCCGCTTTATGGTAAACTATATTATTGTTATAAACCTGGAAAAAATTCTTTGTCCTATTCAGAAATTGATCAATAATCGAAATACGGTGAAACCGTAATATTTTTTATTTATCAATGGGAAAAATGTGGTTGTGGTCGAAGGCCCCACAACCACAAATACCATAACCTGAAAATAATGTCCTTCTCGGGAGTTATTATCTCACTTTTTGTCAAGTTGGCTGTTATTTTTTCTCAAAAAAGCAGGAAAACAAAGTATTTTGATAGTGCAAAAAAATGGTTGAAAACGCATAAAAATTCCTAAAAATTACACGAATTTTAGGTTACGGTAGTTGTGTAGGACCCTCGGCATATGGTGTTTCTCTTCCACAGCATCAATTTTCAGATCATTGAATAACAATCAAGTTATCGGAAAGTATTGTCCGCTAGATAAAACTGTAAAAAATTTTAATGAAAATTTGTCAAAATGTTTAAAAGTTTGATGAAACTTTTCAAGACCCAATTGGGTTCAAGCGAGGGGGTCAGAAAGCGCGCCCCAGGAAACTCGTAGGCCAGAAGAAATTTAATAATTTTAAAGTGGACGCGGGTTTGATCTAGATCATGATCTATTTCTTCAAAATCAACTGATTCCAAGGAGCGCTTTTTCGCTCTTCATTTAAAAATTTGAAACTCAGCAAACGAAATTCGGCAGCGAATTTAGAATTTTCCCTAAATTTACTGGGGCGCGCTTTCTGACCCCCTCGCTTGAACCCAAGTGAAGACCTTAATTTTTCATATTTTTTTGGTAGATCAAACAATTCGAAGTTTTTGAAGAATTGGCGGCAAGAAAAACAATTGTTTTTCAGTTTTTTGTTGGTTGAGCCAGAAAATCATTTCAAAACGTTTTCTGTTTCGTTTTGGTTTTTTTTTCGACATCTGATTTTTGTAGTACGTTACGAATTCGTTTTCTGTTGCTTCTCGACAAATTCCACATGATACTCAAATTTCAAAAATTTTGTTCGACTTTGAGGTTTTCTTACTATTTTTTCTGCTGGTCTTCTCGTTTTGGTAGTTTTGAGTTTGTCAATTCAAGCCTATTGACCGTAAAACCTGCAGTAGAAGGGCCTCACACTGTCACGTTTGAGCTTAATTATCTCAATTCCTATGCAAGATTTCAAAAACGTGCTAACTTGCAAAAACATTTGTTATTGTAATAACAGTTTATCAGTTAACAATCTCTGACCGGAACTGAGAAAAACTGATTCACAGTTAAAAGTTAAGGGTCCTTGTATGTATTACAGGTCTTACGTTATCTCATCTTTGTCAGATGTTAACAGGACGTTTATTAGAATGATTCAAAAACTAAAACCTTTCATGGTCCTAGTGAAACAGATCTTTTTTGAACTCAAGATATCAAAAAATGTTTCTAGATTGGTCTACATCTTGATTTGATCTACAAAACCAACCTAATAGCCGCGAACTTTCCCAGAAACAAGATCCACTCCGCTCATAAAAATAGCAACAGATGGTATCTATTGTACCAGATGGTCTCAATCGATAACACAGTACTAATCCTCCTACATTTTGTTCTCCGATGCCATTCTCTCTTTCTCTTGTCTTGTCCCTCCATAACATATTCTGCTCTTTTTTCCCGCATATTCTATCTTCTCTTTCCGAATGATTTTCGATGACGTGCATTCCTTGCATTGATCGCTTCCGAAAACTACTGTCTCTCCTCTGAATGATTCTACATTTTCGACGCAGTGCGCCGCGGCGCGAAATTCGAAAAATTAGCATATTGTGTGCGGATTAAGCCAGAACTCGTGCTCTTTTCCCCTATTGAAAGTACATTTTAAGAGAGAAAATTTTAAATTCAAATTTTTGAAGGAATTTGCATTTTTAGTATTCACCCCGAATTCATTTTGTGTACTGTAACGATTATTTTTGATATAAATACACCCCTCGGTAGGCAGTTTTTTCATAGTTTCCTTTCATTCGATTTTTTGGGATCAATTTTTTTCATTTCTGAGAAAAGACAACTTTTTTGAGTCATCTTTAAAAATAGAACGATTTCATAAAAATTTCATATGCCCCCTGATGGACCAATTCGTCAAATATCACGTTACCTCGATCGTTTCCGTTATAAACAAATCCATCAATTATTGTAGCAAAATTTTGACCTCTTTCTCTTTTATACTATTTTACCTCCCCTTCCTACCTTTTTTATTTTTGTCTGCCTCCTCCCGATCGGTGCAATTTGCGTTCGCATCTCTGTCCGATCCAAACCCTCTACTCTATATCCAATTTTCAAAAAAACAAAACCATATTTCCAGGGAAAAGGCTCATCGGCACATCACCGATCGCCTCCTTTGTCTCCAAAAGTCTTCGAAGCTGTCGACACTTGAATCTTCTCGTGGAATGCAAAAGAGCCAAAATGTAACCGAAGGACCTGAAGCGAACGGTGTGGCGGCGGTGGTGCTAGGCACCGGCCATCACACCTCACCTGATACAAATGCAGGGAAGACCAAGGTGAGGCTTTTTGGTGGGAAATTGGAAATTTTTGAATTAATTTTAGCTAAAGAGCTTTAGGAGAGAAGTCTTGAATGGAGGGCCAAAAGTATCTTCATGTAAAACCTCTAAAAACCAGTAATTGTCAACTTTGAGTCTATTTATCTCCATTTTTATGAACGATATTCAAAAGTTGTCAACTAATAAATAGTTTATCATAATATCATGAACATTTTATCAGTCGACACATTTTCGATATCTACCAGAAGAACCGAGATAAATTACTATAAACCCTCTAATAGAAGGTTACTCTATCCTTACAGTTTGAGCTAATTTATCTCAGTTCTTGTAAAAGATATAAAAAAGGTGTCAACTGATAAATTATTGATGATGTTATGATAAACAATTTATCAGCTGGCACATTTCTGATAGTTTTCACAAGAATCGAGATAAGATGGCTCAATGTTTGGGGTGGCGTTAACGTTAGTTTAGGTTGGTTACGGTGGTTAGGGTGGCGTTAAATTATAGTGCTTACGGTAGTTTTCAGGATTTTGAGCCAGAAAAAAATGAAAATCTAAAAATTTAAAGCCAGGATGTTATTGCAATCCTATCTAGGTTCAAAAGTTTTGAAAAATGGGTTCTGTTAGGTTTACTCAAAATTTAACTGTTCCACACTCACTATTCAAATTCGCTTTGATCTAATCTGGTCAATTAGCATAACTTCAGTATTTCTACACTTCCAATGACCCTTCTCTAGTTGTATTCCGCTTTTAATATCAATTATCTTCGTTATCACCTCCTTGTTACCTATTCAACAAAAGTCCTTTTCAAGTACACTGTGTAATGTGATACTTCCCCTTAATGTACCCATTAACAATAGACTGGTCACCCACCCAGGGCGAAAGTAATTTTCACTTTTTTACACTATCTCTGAAAAATGACACAGTATTCTTAGCAGCTTCTGATAGTTTGATGCTTCCTCCTATTCACCTACCGTTAGGTTCCACGTGAGAATCCAGAATGCGTTCACGTGACGATCAGGAGGAGAAGACGGAGAAAAGGGGGTTCCGAGAGGAGAAGATTGGTTTATGAGTCATGATTGATTTATTCATTGTAATAATAACAACAACCCATCATTCGATACCCCCATCATTGAAGAGCGTCGTAAGTTTTTTGGAAGAGATTAGATTTTTGAAAGAAAGTTTGAGAGGGGGGACCCTACCAGAATGTCCCTATTACAGAAAATTACTGTAGATAGTTTGAGAGGGGGGACCCTACCAGAATGTCCCTATTACGGAAAATTACTGTAGATTCTGAGGGATATGAAAACAATACTTTCATAATAGTATTCTCGAAAATTTAGCCTTGAAGCTAGCCACGCCTACTTTTGCCTAGCAGGAGACCAGCTAACGAAGTAAACATAGATTTTCTAGTATTCAAATTTTTGCCCTTGTGTATTAGGCTAGACTTTTTCAAATCGCGCCTTTTCCCCGCTGAACAACTACTCTACAATTACCGTAAAACCTGTAACAGAAGGACTTACACACTGTCAAGTTTGAGCTGATTTTGCTCTGGTCCTATGCAAGGTACAAAAGTGTGTCAACTGGTTAATCATTGATGATATTATGGTGATTAATTTTATAGTTGACAACTTTTTAAAACCTTTCACAGAAACCGAGAAAAATTGCCTCAAAATTAGAAGGCCCTTCTAATACAGGTTTTACGGTAATTGCTAAGCTCGACATATACAAGAATGCAGTGGAGCGCATTTACTCTAGATTTCGAAAAATACTACGTTCTGCACTATGGCACCTTATCCTAACGGTTCCGCTTCAACGATCCGAACTTTGACCATCTCTTGTTCCAAAAATTCATACAAAAAGACAAATTGTTCCGCTCCCCACCCTTTTTTACCGTTTAAAAAAGATTCATAAGGACGCACGAACCAGAACTAGATAATAGTTTTTAGTATGATGATAGTTTTTTTTGGGACAACAGTAGCAGGAGACAGAAGACAGTTAGTCAAACAGTTTGAAAAAAAATGACTGTGTATGAAGAATCGAAAAAAAAGACACGTGGAACGAGAATAGAACCTAGAATTTGGTTGAGTAGAGAACAAGGTGTTGCGTAAGAAGCAGGAGATTTCGGTCCACGCGTCCTTATCATCTCTCTATCTCTGAATATACATGACGTCTCTTGTCGTTGACCGAATGGCCAGGGCGGAAGCAGTTATCAAAATGAGAGGAATCAGAAGAGATCCCCCGTTTTTGGGTAAATATCGTGTCTATGCACGTCGGACACCCTCGGACCCAATACACACACACTCTCTCTCTCTCTCTTCGTATTTCTGAATTATACTGAAGATTGTATATATTGTAGAAATAGAGAAGTGAGTGATAGTTGATAAGAGGAGGGGCCACCGCGCCCCGTTTGTCTTCTTCTTCTTCAACATCATCAGCTACCACCACCACCATCGTCTTCGCCGTCCTTATGATCAATTGTCTATCTTTTCGATCCTTTTTTCCTTCTTTTTTTCGTTTTGAACAGGACCCGCCGCGCAGGAGGATGGGGAGGAACGAAGTGATGATAAGCTAATAGGCAGATTTATTAGTGATAATCTGATACCCTGCGCGCCAAGAGACACTTCGTAGTTCTAATTTGCCGATTAG